CCTCCTCCTCCTCCTCCTCCTCCTCCTCCTCCTCCTCCTCCTCCTCCCACCCTGAGGCGCCAGAAGCCGCTCGCGGCCGCCCCTCGGCCACCTCCGCGTGCCCTCGGTCGGCGTCGTCCACCTCTCGAGAAGGACAGTACAGCACGGGCCCGGACATCGAAGGTCGTCGTCGTCGTCGTCGTCCGCCGCCGCCGCCGCCGTGGTCGTCGTCGGCTTCGTCGTCGTCGTCGTCGCCGTCGTCGTCGTTGTCGCCGTCGTCGTCGTCGATGATTGCCTCCTTCCTGGATCAAGGGGTGCCGCACGAGCACGGGCGGTTCGCGAGCCCGAGCCAGTTTCCCCACTCTCGGCGGCGAGCCCGGGCGGGACGTGAGAGGGGGCCGATCTTCTCAGGAGGCTCGGGAGGCGTTCGGCCTGCTGAGAAAGCTCGGAGCCTTCCCCGAAGACACAGCAAACTTCTTGGAAGGCGCGAGGGCTTCTGAGAAGCCCGTCTCATTTCCCCCCCCTGCCCGCTGCGGAGAATGGGGAAAATAAGTGGTCGCCCGTTCTGGACGGGAATGCGAACAGAGACAGGAACATTGAGCCCTCTGACGGACGAGGGCCGGTCGGAACGATGGGAGGAATACAGACGACCAAGCAAGCAGGCTCGCGGCTCACCGTTACACCGCCAGGGGGGTGGAGGGTGGGTCGGGGAGGGATGAGAACAACGATACCTGTGCAGGATGGGTATTATCAAGTATGACGCTTCTCATGTGGGGGGCCGAACGTGACCATTCCCACTTCCTGTCCGACATCCTCCCTCCCATGTTCCCTCCACAGCATCAATGTGTACGGTGAGCGGTCATACCGGCAGTAAGATGCACGCCTGGAAAAGCAAAGACGAACCTTTCTGGAAAACGCTGCAGACGAGTCCAAGATTCAATGCAACATCGTGAAGTCGGTTCCATTACACGATGGAGTCGTGGATGACATGAGGAGGGTTCCCTCCCAATTCGAGCATAGACGCCAGGTTGTTGAAGATACTCCCTCATCTTCGACGTCCCTCACTTCACCGCCCTCCTCCTTCTCCTCCCTCCTCCTCCTCCTCCTCCTCCTCCTCCTCCTCCTCCTCCTCGTCGTCGTCCTCGTCCTCGTCCTCGTCCGACCCCTCAAAATCAGACCCCGACCGCTCCTGGGGCGCATTGTGCTCAAAATCTCCCAGCGAATCCAGCCGTTGCGAAGTAGGTCCCCGGGAGACCCCCACACGGAGCTCTCCATCGAGGCGGGGAGACAGGAGGAGAAGCAGGAGGGAGAGCGAGGAGGAGGGAGGAGGACAAGGAGTCGTGCTGCTTGTTGGCGTTTGGGGGGGGGGGGGGGGCGCGTCCTCGTCGCGCGAGCTGGACCGCCCCGAGGCCCTGCCCAGAACACGCCCCGGGAGAGGTCGGGGTGGAGGCTTTGAGGCGAGAGGAGTGCTAGAGAGCGAGGAGTGAAAGGGGAATGGAGGCGCAGGGGGGGGGGACTGCGGGAGGGGGAGGGAAGACGGAAGGGAGGATGAAAGGAGGGAGTGGGAGGCAGGGATGACAAAGTCAAGGACCCCTCTTCGGCATCCTTCCCCTCTTCCTCATCCTGCATCCTCAACCTCGTTCTCCTCGTCCTCTTTTTCCCTCCTCCAGTGTCCCTCCCCACTGCTCGTCCCTGCCCCCCTGAGTCTGACCAGTTGACCGCGCGCGCACGCGATGCCGCCCCAAACGCCACCGCTGGAAGGGCGGCAGCGGCGGCAGCCGCCAAAGAACGCGCGCCAAGGACGTCCTTGGGATCATGACTCCTTCGTCGTCGACGTCCTCCTCCTCCTCGTCCTCCTCCTCCTCCTCCTCCTCCTCCTCCTCCTCCTCCTCCTCCTCTCCTCCTCCTCCTCCTCCTCCTCCTCCTCCTCCTCCTCTTCCTCCTCCTCCTCCTCCTCCTCCTTCGTGAAGCCCTCCGAATTCGAATTCTCCGACCTCCTTCTGAAGGAACTACGACGACAACCACCACCACCACGACGAAGACGGACGACGGCGTCGAAGACGACGGCGTCGACGACGACGACGACGACGACGACGACGACGACGACGACGACGACGACACTGCGCGGCTCACGACTGCCCCCGCCGAGGCTCCTCGAGCGGGAAGAGCGGGATCCGCGGGGCCGGCGGGGGAGCGGCCGGCTGGCTGGCTTCGTCGTCGTCGCCTTGCTGCTGCGTCTGGCCGTCGTCGGTTGGCGCCGTCGCCCTGCCCCGCGCGGCCAGGACGCGGGGAAGGAGGACCACCCCGGGGCTCCGGCGAGGCCCTGGCTCCCGGGGCCGCCCGTGCAGTCCAGGTCGGGGAGCCCGTGCGTGCCCGCGGCCCGCCGCGGCCAGAGAAGCCCCATCGTTCCCTGTGCATTGCACAAGCTCCTCCCCTCCCCCCCGTTCTCCTCCTCGTCCCCCATACCCCTGCCGTCGCCTCCCCTCCTGCGTCTCTGCCGCCTGCCGCCCCCGCCTCGCTCCGCACGCCCCCCCTATGCACTCCTCCTCCCCCCCCTCTTCCTCATCGTCTCCCCCCCTCAACCTCCCTCATCCTTGTCCCCTCCCCGTTCCCCATCAAACGCCCCCCTATGTCCTCCTCCTCCCCCTCCGCTTCCCCATCCTCTCCCCCCCTCAGCCTCCCTCGTCCTTGCTTCCTCGCCGTTCCCCGCCAAACGCCTCCCGACGCCTGCCTCGCTCCGCACATCCCGCCTCGCGTCCCCCACCGTGCCGCGAAGCACTTCGGGGCGTGTCGATGCATGGAAAGAAGTAAAAACAAATGACAATGGACAGATTAAGCCACCGACTCACGAAAGCCGAGGCCGAAGAGCCGTGCGTCCGTGTCGGGCAAAGACGCCCTCATAGGGCAGCTGACCTATCAAGCAAGCACAGACACCGCTGAGCTTCAGGATCAGGAGGGTCGCGGCCACAGAGCCGCGCGCCGTGCCCTGAATGGCGGACGGTCGAAGAGCACCCCCAGTCGCCCGAAGATCGCTCCAGGACGCTCCAGACTGCCTGCCTCCAGACGGCCCAAGGAGCCGTTCCAAGAGACCCCCCACGAGGGCCAGATGCCGAAATCGTTGCTTCCAGTGGGTGTTTGAAGCAGTTGGGCGTTGTCGCCCCCTCGGGGTTCTGACCGCCCAGGACAGGCGAAGAGGCCCCGAGATCGCCCTAAGACAACCCAAGAGGCCCCCAAGACGGCCCCCAGACGGCCCACGAGGGCCCCAAATCGGCCCACGAGGCCCGCAAGACGGCCCCAGATGGCCCCATGAGAGCCCCGAGAGAGCCCCAAGAGGGGGAGCACGGACCTAGATTTCGAGCCTTGTGCCCACAAATGACCCCCGAGAGCGCCAGCAGGCACCCCAAGGGGCTCTCCAAAGCCCCAGGAGGCCCCCAGAAGACCCAAATCAGGCCCCAAGAAGCCTCCAAAAAGTCCCCGAGAGGCTCCAAGCACATCCCAAAACCGCCTTCCAAGAGGCTTCCGAGAGGCCTCCCAAGAGATCCCCAGAGGCATCTACGAAGCATATAAGAGGCATCTGGCGTACAACATAGGCACGGTGGCGGCCTAGGCACGGTGGCGGGATAGTCCGAAAACCACTAGACCTGGCCCGGCACAGAAACGGAAAGAGCGCTTCAGAAAGGGAAACCGAAATTACTCACACCACCGTTTGTACCGGGAGCCTTGGCGTTGAGAGCTTGTTACGTCACCCCTCGCTCTTGGGAGCCTTGGTGTTCAGAGATTGTTGCGTTGCCGCCCGTTCCTGAACCTTGGCTGGGCCTTGGTGCCAGGAACTTGTTACGTCATCGCTCTCTGCAGGGAGCCTTGGTCTTATCAGCTTGTTTACATCACCGTTCGCTCTTAGGAGCCTTGGTGTGAAGAGCTTTTTGCGTTACCGATCGCTCTCTATTTGGCGTCTCTGGGCCTTCTTGGGAGTTCTGTTGGGGCCCTTTTGGAGCCCTTTTGGAGGCCTCTAGGGGACCTCTTGGGGGCCTCTTGAGGCTTCTTGGGGGGCTCTGGGGGCCTCCTGGGAGCTTCGCGGGGCGAAAAGCTAGACTTTTCGGTTCGTGGTCCCCCTCTGAGGGCCGTCTTGGGGCCCTCTTGGGCCGTCTTGGGCGCCTCTTGGGCCGTCTTGGGGCCCTCTTGGGCCGTTTGGGGGGGCCTCGTGGGAGCCTCTTGGGCCGCCTTGGGGCGGTCTTGGGGGCCTCTTGAAGCGTCTTCAACGCAGTGAAAGCCGAAAAGCCGTGTATGCTAAAAATGTACCTTTTCCCATCCATAGGAAATCAATGATTTTGGCCTCTTGGTGGCCTCTTGGGACGCCTCTTGGGACGCCTCTTGGGGGCCTCTTGGGGCTTCTTGGGGGGCTCTGGGGGCCTCCTGGGAGCATCTTGGGGCGAAAAGCTAGACTTTTCGGTTCGTGGTCCCCCTCTTGGGGCCGGCTTGGGGCCCTCTTGGGCCGTCTTGGGCGCCTCTTGGGCCGTCTTGGGGCCCTCTTGGGCCGTTTTGGGCGCCTCGTGGGAGCCTCTTGGGCCGTCGTGGGGCGGTCTTGGGGGCTTCTTGGGCCGTCGTGAACGCCGTGAAAGCCGAAAAGCCGTATATGCTAAAAATGTACGTTGTCCTACGGAAAATCTATGATTTTTGGCCTCTTGGGGGCCTGTTGGGGCGCCTATTGGGCGCCTCTTGGGGCGTCTTGGAGGCCTCTCGGGACGATCTTTGGGACCTCTTGGGCCGTATAGGGTCCTTCTGGGACGGAAACGGGGAGAACCAGAAAAACTGCAAAAACCCGCGGGAAAACCCGCGGGAAAACCCGAAAACGGCAATTAAACCCATTCACTCCCCCTACGCCCCCGCCCTGGAATCTCCCCCTTAAGGGCTTCGCCCACACCAGAACGTCATCACTCGTACCTCGCTCTTTCCGTTACCTGGGCCGGCACGGGAACAGGAAAGAGCGGACCAGGAACTTGCCCGAGAGGGCTCACGGCACCCTTCGACCTTGGGAGCCTTGGTGGTAAGAGCTTGTTACGCCACCACTCTCTGTTGGGAGCCCTGGTGTTCAAAGACTTTTACGTTGCCGCTCGCTCCTGGGAGTGTTGGTGCTGAGAGTTGATTACGTCACCGCGCTCTGGGGAGCCTTGGCGTTCAGAGCTTGTTGCGTCACCGCTCGCTGTGGGGAACCATGGTGCTCCTTAGCGTCTCTGGGGCTTCTTGGGAATTGGGGGCCCTTTTGGACAGTTTTGGAACTCTTGGGCCGTCATTGGGCCAGCCCAGTGCCTACACCCAAGCAGCCCAGACCCCATACCGGCTCGTCGGGCCCCCCTTTGGGAGCCTCTTGGGGCCCTCTTATCTCTTGGGGCCGTCTGGGGGCCCTCTAGGGCCGTCTTGGGGCCCTCTGGGGCCGCCTGGGGGCCCTCTTGGATTCGGCCCCTGTGGGGTGCCTCTGGGGCCGTATTGGGATGATCTTTGGGGTCTTTTGGGCCGTCTGGGGCCCTTCTGGGACTGAACAAGGGAGAACCCGAAACACCTGCAAAACCCCAACGGAAATCAATGCTTTTGGCCTCCCGAGGTCCTCTCGGGGGCCCTCTTGAGGGCCTCTGGGGCCGTCTCGAGACTCTCTTGGTCCGCCTGGAGGCCATCGAAAGCTCTCTTGGGGCCGTCTTGGGGCCCTCTGAAACCGTTTTGGGGCCCTCTTGGGCCGTCTTGGGGCCCTCTGACCGGTTCACACGAAAAATTTGAAGACCCTCCCTACAAGAACTTCACCCCCTAGGAAACGTCTCTCGCTCGTACCTCGCTTTTTCCGTCACCTGGGTCGGCACGGGAACGGAAAGAGCGCTTCATCAACCTGCCCGAGATGGCTCATGGCACCCTTCGCTCTTGGGAGCCTTGCTGTTCAAAGCTTGTTGAGTCACCGCTCGTTCTTGGAAGTCTTACTGGTAAGCGCGTGTTACGTCACCGCTCTCTGTTGGGAGCCTTGCTGGTAAGAGCTTGTTGCGTCACCGCTCCCTGTGCAGATTCCTCGTGCCAAGCGATGCTTACGTTGCCGCTCGCTGTTGGGAACCTTGCTGGTAAGAGCTTCTTGCGTCACCGCTCGCTCTTGGGAGCCTTGCTGGTAAACGCGTGTTACGTCACCGCTCTCAGCCGGGAGCCTGGCTCCTCCTCCTCGTCTTCCTCCTCCTCGTCTTCCTCCTCCTCCTCCTCCTCATCCTCCTCCTCATCCTCCTCCTGCTCCTCCCTCCTCCTATTGTCATTAGTATTAATCATCAGAGTGAGGAGGGCGAACGGTCAGTCATTGTCCCTGGGTGCGTGGCTGAATTAAGAATCCATGGTGAGGCTTATGTCTGTTGCGTTGTTGTTGTTGCTGCTGTTGTTGTTTGCTGTCGTCGTCCCCCCCGCGACCAAACCCGCGACCCACCCCGCGACATGGTCCGCGACCCATCCGCGACCCACCCGCGACCCACCCGCGACCCACTTGCGACCCACCTGCGACCCACCCCGCGACCCACCCGCGACCCACCCACGACCCACCCGCGACCCAACCGCGACCCACCCCGCAACCCACCCCGCGACCTGGCCCGCGACCCATCCGCGACCCACCCGCGACCCACTCGCGACCCACTTGTGACCCACCTGCGACCCACCCCGCGACCCACCCGCGACCCACCCGCGACCCACCCGCGACCGATCCACATTGGTTTGAAGAAAAAGTCGGCGCCTGCGGCGGGCTTGTTGTATTATGTTTGCATATTTGGCGCCTGCGGCGGGCTTCTCCAGAGACTTGCAGACTGC